ATGACGTGATTATCAGACATCCCGGCTAATTTCACTTTACGATTCAACACCTTAACGCTACCTGTTGGGGAGGTTAGCGTTAGGGTGCTTAATCATCAGGTAAAATAAGTTTGGGTGTCTAATCTTCAGGTGATCTCAGGTTACCAGGGAGTTTTGTTCACTAGTATCGCTACAGTTCTACATCACAGAGCTACCGAAACTAGCACGTGCGATCACCATCAGAGCTCCGGTGAGACTGACAACATATAAACCTCCGTGACTTACCTCTTATCACTCGTCATCTCCAAAACATTATACCTCCCTGTAACCACTTGTTGGGTAGTTTGCTGCCCTGAACAACCCACTCCAGCACTCAGGTGTATGACGGTCCACTACAGGTATCACCAGCTACATTAAAACACAATAATCATGTACGGCAATTTATTTACAGTCACAACAATATTCGTAAACAAATATATGTACATTATATACATGTATGTTATATATGAGACTGATTAATAATATAAATAAAAGAGTTAACACAGGGCTTTGACTATTGGTAATGAATAAATGATATCAGATTATTTGGTTTTAGCAGTATATAAACCAGTATATATTTTTATTATTATTATAATATATATGAGATGTTTGACAATACAAGGATACCGTAGTTCTAACCTAATGACACTTCCAATTTTAAGAATCAATGGACGTATTACCACAACAGTTCTACACACACACACACACACACACACACACACACACACACACACACACACACACACACACACACACACACACACACACACACACACACACACACACCAGTGAGAAATAACACATAGTATTTTCTTAACAAGGCTTTACAATCTCCTATAAACATTGTCGATGTATTTGTTGTAATATTATAATTTATAACTAAGTGACTACATGAACAAAACACTCACACGGAAGGAATACTATCAGTCAGATCACGATAAGAAGGAAACTTAATATAATAATCTTAAAATTATTATAGATTTTTACTTTGGAAATTTTGTATACGAATAAATGTGTCTGATTTTAATACCTTCATCAGCCATACTACTTGTCGATAGATAGATAGATAGATATAATAGATAGATAGATAGATAGGTTGAACGATAGATTGAACGATAAGGCAGTCAGATGGGTAGATGGATAGACATGGATGACAGGTGATTGATATATTGAGTGGGAAGACACGTGTAATCTGTACTTTAAATCAGTCATTAAACCGAGCCAGTCACAACGTTAAACTGCGCCAATCATTACTTAACACAGTCAATCACTACCATAAATGAACAGTCACTAATGCCTTACACGGTCACTCTATTAACCCTTTGAGGACGATGATTCAACCCTTGAGGACGATGATTCAACCCTTTGCGGATGAAGATTTAACCTTTTGAGAACGATGCTTTAACTCTTTGAGCACGATGATTCAACCCTTTGAGGACGATGATTCAACCCTTTGAGGACGATGATTCAACCCTTTGAGGATGAAGATTTAACCCTTTGAGGAACATGGTTAAATCCTTTGAGGACGAAGATTCAACCCTTTGAGGACAATGGTTAAACCCTTTGCCATGTTCAGGTGTATTCTACAACAAGGACTGAAAAGGTTAACCAAATGAATCTTTTAAATCACAATTAAAAAAAAAAAATCAAATTTCTTCTTAGGAATATTACCCCCAGGAGAGAAGTTAGGGAGTTCGCTGCCTTCAAGTTCCCTCATAAACTGACAGGCGGTACATCGTGGTCAGACACTGGTAAATTTCCTTGGCTTCGACCTTGAGTGGCCGTGGGTGTTGTGGTGGTGGTAGTGGTGAGCGGAGGAAAGCTGTGTGGGAGGGGAAGAGAGGAGGGCAAGTAAGGGGGAAGGGAGGGGGAGGAAAAAGAGGTCTATGGGAGGAAGGGAGAAAGGGTAAGTGAGGTGCAGTGAGGGAGAAGAGGATGTAGGAGGAGGGGAGAGGAGGTGAGGGAGTTATGTGAGGAAGGAGCAAACAAGAATAAACAGCATAGTAAGTGACTGAAGGAAGAGAGAGGTTATAGGGAGGGGGAGAGAGATATAAAGAGGGAGAGAAAACAACGAAAGGAGTAGAAATAGACGAAGAGAGAAATGAAAGAGGCGTTTTAAAGAGAGTTACAGAGGTGAGGGAGAATGAAAGGAGGAATAACTGTAGGAGACGGGAGAGAGTGAAGGAGGAAGTGGACAGGAGAGACAAGGGTCAACGATGGAAGGGCCACATAACTCGGCACTCCCAGACACACGACCAAGACGAGTATCGCTGGCACTGACTTAACTAACCCATGGTATCACTCTACACGCTTCTTCTTCGTATTTTTATTCTATTTTCTCTATTCCTCCTTTACGAAAATACGAAGAAAAACCCCCAGTAATATCTCGAAAAAATTCACATTTTCATATTATATTTCATTCAGGGTTAAAAGATTACCTTACGATAATAATTAACTCCATGTAACTAAGAATTGATAATTATACTGAGGTCAACTACACTTAAGTAAAAATCATCCCTCATAAGGAAAACACATCTATCACTTAAGCCTGACGACACAAAGTGGGCCTAACATAACACCCCCCCCCCAAAAAAAAAAGAAAATAAAAAAAATCCGTGTTATGCTTTCGTGGAGGTGAGACGAGCGCTCGACTGTGAGTGAGGACTTGTCTAGGAGGAACACGGGAACATCCCTCACTCACGTTACGACCACCGCTCCCGCCCCTCCGACAGCCCCACCGCCCAGTTTAGGAGAGAAGCTGAACACTGAGACGCTAGGGTGGAATATTGACGAGGAAGCCCAGCCTGGGTTCTTCCTCTTCCTCCTCCTCCTCCTTCTACTGCTCCTTCCACCTCTTCCCTTGATCGCCTCCTTCACTTACCGATTACTTATTAATTTCTTCTTTATCCTTGAATCATATATTTATCTTCCTCTTCCTTATCATTAACACACACACACGCACACACCTCCTCCTCCTCCTCCCAAAGACGTGCACATTACTACCACCACCTCTTCCTCCTCCATAACCCTGTCTCGAAAGGGTTAAACTCAATCATCAAATGCTTAAACCATCGTCATCAAAGGGTTAATCGATCGTCATCAAAGGTTTAAACCATCATCATCAAAGGTTTAAACCATCGTCATCAAAGGTTTAAACCATCGTCATCAAAGGTTTAAACCATCGTCATCAAAGGTTTAAACCATCATCATCAAAGGTTTAAACCATCGTCATCAAAGGTTTAAACCATCATCATCAAAGGTTTAAACCATCGTCATCAAAGGTTTAAACCATCGCCATCAAAGGTTTAAACCATCGTCATCAAAGGGTTAAACCATCGTCCTCCCCAGTCTCTCCGGAAGCACTCTAAGCAAACACCAGCGAAGGTAAGTCGACTTCCAACACTTACAATAAAAATAATTTACACAAATTTTCTCGAGGCACAACTTGACTCATTTGACCTTTGCTTTACCGTGATAGTCAGGAGTAGTAGTGCGGAGAGGGTGGGAGGGAGGGAGAGGAAGAGAAGATGAGAAGGAAGAAGGGATGGAGGATGAGAAGGAAGGAGAGAGGACAGGAAAAAGGGGAAGGAAGGCAGAAAATGAAGAGAGAGAGAGAGAGAGAGAGAGAGAGAGAGAGAGAGAGAGAGTATTTCACACACAATTAAATAACTAAGAGAGACAAGCATAAGGCCTCGGCATAAACAACAAACACACAAACATTAGGATAATACAAGTGTGTTACACGTTAATCCATCAAAGATCAGATATCCCTTTGACCTCAACACGTTTCATGACCTTTCCAATACACGTCTTTCATGAGTCTATTTCATCTCTCATTCGCTTTGTTTTTTTTACCTCTTGATTCACCCAACACGAGAGTAGAGAAAGTAAAACAGAGGCTTCCTATTTCTCGTTTAAACAAGGGTATATATTTTTGGCTTACAGAACACTTATAGTATATATACGTTGATGTTCTGTAGTGGTAGGAAATATACATAGATAGTATACATAGTTTTAAACATACATACAATCCATACACTCATTATATCTTTCACTCATCATCTTAATATTTACCAAAATAATAAGACTCCATTTACTAAGGAGGAATAATGCCCTTGTATGTTCTTTACGAGTATAATTAATCTGGATTTTATATTTTTTTCACTTATTTGGTAATCTTTGGTATGTGTAAATAAATCCTCACTACTGACTGATATCCTCGGTAACAGGTGATAAAGGCGGGATGATATCTTGCCTGTGTGACTGTAATAAACACGTGAGTTTATTCCTTAAATGAGATGATAAAATTTTGAGTTAAACATCTTGTACCAAAAAAATAATAATTAATAGGTGAGCTTCACTAGACTGAACTAAAGCTAATCATTTATTCATTAGGTTTTAAAAGTTTCGATGGTCAGGTCCTGCTGTTTGGTGCTGATGGCGGCAATATACAACTGAGAGACAAAACACAGGTGAGAGAGACAGATGAGAGACACAAACACAGGTAGCTAACACGGGAGCAACTGAGAGAGTGGCTGGAAACACACACCTGAGAAGCTGGCCGCTGAAGGCTGGTTACACCTGCAGTCTCTAACGCCTAGTGTGACTTATATACACTGTATACCTGTATAGGAAAAGAACATTTGATTCTAAACCGGACTTCTACCATGCATGTAATTCTGTCGTATCAAATATAATATAAAACTTAGAACCAAATAAAGAATATATACCAGCAGACTACGAGTATTCTTTACATAGAACTCAAAGGACATTCTTATATACACCATAATCCAGGAAGATATCACAAGTTCAGAGTACACACACACACACACACACACACACAAGGAAAGGTGGTCAGTGATGCTTGACCTTGTTTTGACCTCATCACAGTGTAGAAGGTAATACTGCACCAGAGAACATGATACACACATGTTTGGGTCAGTGGTATTACGTACCAAGCTCCTGAAAGAGAGAGAGAGAGAGAGAGAGAGAGAGAGAGAGAGAGAGAGAGAGAGGTCAAGTCAGGTCAACACACAGCACAGTATGTCATGTCACTTTTCACCATAAGATGACTAAGACCTGGTTACCTGTTAATCACGTCAAGGTACAAGTTAATGATAAGATAGGGGAAATATAATGTAGTCTCGCGTTCACATCACCACATAGGCAGGTTGTAACATTCATCACTAGAACCACAAAGTCAATTTTACTGTACTGAGAGAGAGAGAGAGAGAGAGAGAGAGAGAGAGAGAGAGAGAGAGAGTGTTAATCTTGAACTCATTGTTCTCTCCATCATAGTAATTAATGACCAGAAGGAAAACGAAATACTAAACTGACCAGAAAATCACGAGAATAAGAAGAATCTCAAACACTGGATCTTCCTTGGGTCGAAAAAAACCCAACAACACAGGGGATTGAATGAGCTGGTTAGGGAAGGGAACTATGTTATCCAACTCCGAGTCTTGGTTTATGTGGATAATACTCTTCTTCTTTTTTTTTAGATTAAGGAAGTTCCAGAATCACCTTTGAAGTAGAGTCACACAATGAACGATCATAGCCCCAAATTATATGTAAATGTTTTTAATAATTTTGATACTGTATGCTGACTGCTGAGTGAGTTTCTGGAAATGACATCTCTGGTAGTCCGTTTGATGTGAGGATATAAAAGATGGTTGAGTTGTGACTATAATCGGATTCACGAATGAAGTTCGACACTACACTGTGATTGACTGACTGTAGTGTGAGATGGTTTTATTGTAAGTTGTACTGAACAAGTCGAGATTTTTTGACTAGATTGAGTTAAACAAAGAAACTCTTAATTATTTTCACTGAATCACACAGAGAGGAATTTTTATAACAAAGACAATAAATACAGTAATTGTGGTTGTAATAATATCTACCACATCAGTGCCCGACCTAACTCAGCTTCCTGGTTTACTGTACTCAACAATCTTCCACAAACTCACTCATCTGCCACCTGTCTTCTCTGGTATAATATTCTTTGGAAAAAAATTAGACACACATTTGTACAAAAAAGTAATAACTTACATAAAGTTTGCCGTAAAAAAATCATTTATCTGAATATTTTCATTCATGTATAAAACATAATATTGAAAATTTACGTACATTCACTTTCTTTACATTTCTCTTATTTTGTTATGCAAGGTTTCTCAACAGAACTTTGGCGATATATATATATATATATATATATATATATATATATATATATATATATATATATATATATATATATATATATATATATATATATATATATATAATAGAACTCTCAAGCGTGATAAGGAGTAAATAGCTTTGGGAGAGAATATATCAGTCTTTGTAAATCACACACTTACCTTACACTATAGCATATCAAAATGAAGATCGAGTTTTAAGTAAAAATAAGACTACGATCTGGGATTCGCCAGAATAATATACACTGACTTGACTCTTGTAGCGTCAGAATGAGCAAAATCACTGAACGTCTTACACTGTGTCATCCTGGTCTCCCTCACACACACTCACTCCATGCCAGACACTTAACACATCCCCAGAGCATGTGTTAGAAGCATCCAAGGACTGTGTTGATGACTGCTGCTTCAGAGGCCACGCAGAACCTGAGGGAGATCCTACACTTGCGGACACGAATTCCTTCTTTAACAAACTGTAGAAATTAAAAACTGGTTACAGCTGGAATTTGAGTTTCAGTAACTATAGACAAAAAGGACTATCGGCACAACACACTCGTCTGCAGGTAAACAATGCACCTTGCTTCATGATGTTAACACTAATGCACACAAAACTTCCAGATGGATATTTTCTCGATTAATTCAAAATACTTTAAATGACACTTGACGTAAACACTACTGCCATGTACAGCAACACACCCAGGAATGTTCACTCATTCATATAACTTTTGGGGCCCCAGCGTGTCCAGTTATGGGATATGGGCCAGGAGTTCCCAGTAACAGAGGGTCCATAGGTCAACAGTGACCCCTCCCGCCCCTCACCCACTAGATCCCAGCAGCTGAAGACCCAAGCTTCCACACTGCCCTGTTGCTCCTCACCCACTCAAGATGACATGGGCTGAAGAGTTCCTTGACAGCTAACGATCAATGTTTCCAAGTTGCCATCTGCCTGTCGCCTACCCAAGTGGACAGGGCTGAGGGCTGGAGGTCTCTAGTGTGGCAGGAGCAGCAGGAGGATAGCTAACACCAGCACAGTGAGGAGGCTGGACCCCGCTGCAGGATAACCTAAGAAGGATATAAGAAAATAATTTGTATTATTTTCCTTTCTCTTTAAGACAAATTATAAACTAATCGTATATAATTATTTTTTCTTTCAGGTTCATGGAAGTGATACCTTCAACCCACCACCACCCACCTTAGCTACTTTGGCTAATAACAACCCACCACCACACACTTTGGCTAATTTCAATCCACCTTGGCTAGTATCAACCCACCACCACCCACCTTAGCTAATATAAACCCACCATCACCCACCTCGGCCGATTGCAGTTTGCCCTTCCATTATAGAGGCGTGGAAAGGTGCATCAGTCGGTATAAACACCTCAGTACTATCCCAGTAGATGTTAAGGATGGCTGCCGTACACTTAACAATCGCGGCCCCTCGACGCAGTAGTCGCGGCCGCAAGGGGAAGCGAAGACCCAGGACCGCGGTCTCCAAGCCGGTCTCCGGGTCCTCCTTAGGGTGGTAGGGTGTCAACCACAATGGATCAGCCTACAGGGAGAGTATTGTTGTAGTTATTAATGTTGTGTATGGTGGTATTATTATTATTATTATTATTGGTATTATTATTATTATTATTATTATTATTATTATTATTATTATTATTATTATTATTTATGATGCTCTGGTTGCTGTTATTATTACTATCATTACTACTACTACTACTACTACTACTAATTACAACAACATCAACATTACCGGTTCATCGTTGACGTAGAAGGAGAGGGAGGCGGGAGGCTGTGCACGGGGCGAAGAGCAGTTGAGGATTACGTCTTCGTGCATCTGGTAGCTGTCCTGAGTACCTGTGATCCTTGGCTCCTCATCGGGGAGATCTGCCAGGTACGTGAGGAATGGTAGTGAATATGGGGGATAGTAGGGAACGTTGAGGAAAGGTAGTGAACACGGGGGATAGTAGGAAACATGAGGAATGGTAGTGAATAACATGGATAAGGGGATGGCAGTGAAAGTAGGAATGGTTATTGAACACGGGGAATGGCAGGGAACGAGAGGATGATCACTGAACAAGGGAATGATAACAAACAAGAAGAGCAGAACGTGAGGAACGAAAGTAACCAAGAAGAAAAACACCAAGACTAAAAACAACATCAGTAAAGAGAGGTGAGATCCTGAACGAAAGGAACGAGACGAAACAGAACGAACTAAAGGGGAAATCAAGTTAAGAGAATAAAAAGAAATATAAAAATCGGTCCCTTAGAGAACTCAGAAATGATTCAACTTTCCTCAATAAAAGTTCTATCCTGAGAGAAATATAGATTAATTTCTCTTTTTAATAAATTCTTAACACATATATTTCTTACCATTTAACATTATTTTACTGTAACTAAAAAATAATATAAAGTAAGTTATAAAATCTCTATAGGTTCTTAAAAGGTATCTGGAAATGTATCGTTAAAACAATTATATCAAGTTTTTATACAATGTGAAGATCGAAACTACGACCATCATGTGAATATCAATCTCCTGTAAGAGCTCACACACGGGGTTCTCTCAGCTGGTGGCGATACACAACACAACACACAACAAAACACAACACAACACACTAACAAAACACTGTTTCACTTCTCTCTGTTTTACGAATCGAGCTCTTGGGGTTACCGAAGCTAAGCACGTGTGTCCTTAGACTGTATTAGTACAAGGGGTCAGCGTCAGGAGGTCACACACACACACACACACACACACACACACACACACACACACACACACACACACACACACACACACGTACGTTATGACGGGAACCTGAGATGATTATACACCAGCTGTGTTACCCCGATGTGTGGACAGACACCCACTTGTTCCATGGCTGCAGGAAGTCCCGTAATGATTTCATATTCGGGGTTTATATCATTACTGATTATCACTGACCTTTGACCTCTAATGGTGGTCAGGAAGGGTCATGAGTGACAGCCGAAGTGTATTATGCCTTAGTGAGGTTTGGTTTTGTTATGGTTGTGTCTTTGTTTGTTGTGTTTTACTTCGAACATGTTTGGGTACATGATATGGCACCCACAACAGTCATGGTGGCACTACAACACACTCACTCACAACAGTCATGGTGGCACTACAACACACTCACTCACAACAGTCATGGTGGCACTACAACACACTCACCCACAACAGTCATGGTGGCACTACAACACACTCACTCACAACAGTCATGGTGGCACTACAACACACTCACTCACAACAGTCATGGTGGCACTACAACACACTCACTCACAACAGTCATGGTGGCACTACAACACACTCACCCACAACAGTCATGGTGGCACTACAACACACTCACCCACAACAGTCATGGTGGCACTACAACACACTCACCCACAACAGTCATGGTGGCACTACAACACACTCACCCACAACAGTCATGGTGGCACTACAACACACTCACCCACAACAGTCATGGTGGCACTACAACACACTCACCCACACAGTCATGGTGGCACTACAACACACTCACCCACAACAGTCATGGTGGCACATACAACACACACAACAGTCATGGTGGCACTACAACACACTCACCACAACAGTCATGGTGGCACACAACACTCACCCACAACAGTCATGGTGGCACTACAACACACTCACCCACAACAGTCATGGTGGCACTACAACATACTCACCCACAACAGTCATGGTGGCACTACAACACACTCACCCACAACAGTCATGGTGGCACTACAACACACTCACCCACAACAGTCATGGTGGCACTACAACACACTCACCCACAACAGTCATGGTGCCAATTTCTGACTCGGTGTGAAAATCTGGACCCTCAGCAGACACCTCACACCGGAAGACGCCGGCGGCCCCGAGCGTGACGTCCTTGATCCAGACGCGGCCCTTGTGTGACGACGACCTGTCTACAGTGAGCGGGTCGCCCTTCACGTGAAAGGTCTTTATTGGGGGATTCTCGGCGGGCGTCCAGCGGTAGAATTCATCCAGGCCAAGGTACCACTTGAGGGAGTAGATGCTCTGTCCCTGGTCCACGAACTCACACTCCAACCAGCCACCGTCCCCCACAGCTACGGGAGTCGGCACCACCACTTTGGTGATGTGGAGGCCCAGGGCAACATCTGTGAAGGGCAGGACAAGAAGGACAAGGATTAGTATTACTCTCCAGGACCAATTTGATACTGTCGCTGTCAGGAAAAGTTAATGACGTTGAAAAGCAAGGAACCTTGTTAGTGTTAAGAGTAATCAAATCTCACCAGCTGGGAGACACATACAAACACGACAGCTGTACTGAAACACACTACACATGTGAAAAACCACACACCTGTCTACACAATTGCTCCTCGCTAACCTCCAGCTCACTCCATAACTACAATTCCAATTCAGATTTATACAACTCGTCTGGTCGTAATCAGACACCCGTTGCGTATCTCTTAACCAGGGAGAAATGGACGCTGTAAACTCGCAATAAAGTGTACAGCAAAAATAAGGAGTAATAACTGGATTTCATGTAGACGCATAAAGTATAATAACAGATGCCGACACATACAGGCATGAGCACATTCACACTCAAATATACATACAAGACCATTTTTACGCGAACATTATTACGTATATTCGCTCTCACACAAACACACAAAAAAAATCCTCAATAAGGGAACCAGTGCTCGTAAGGGAAAGCGGGCCAATCAGGAAGAGCCTCGAGACCCCGTCCAGGCTGAAGCGCTGTTATAACTCGGCAACCATTATGGTGATTGGCTGGCTAATATCGGGGCCAGGGGATCCCTAATGCTGCTGCCTTCTTGATTACAACCTGATTGGTCTCTTCTGATTACAGATTCACTCGGGATACGGACCTGCCAAGAGCCTCCCGTTCTCCCAAGACGCGTTTACAGTTGGCTTGTTTTGTGATTACATTATTTTATTTATTTATTTTTTTTTTTACATTTCGCGATGGATGGAAAGCACGGATAATGAAAGTCCCTGTGCTATTTTGACGCCATCTTGTTTAATTAGCTTAAGAGGGTTTACTTTGTGTACTTAAGGTGGAAACAAACCACTATCTTCTCTTGGTTTATTTAGCTTAAGTGAGTTGGTTTATTTTGACACCTTTAGCATTTCATATTAAAGGGGGGGGGGTAATATACGACCAAAAAACGTCAACAATTACACGGAAATTACATACAATTTTACCGAAAGAACATACATACATACAAACATACAAAGAGCGATCAAAAGTAACCCTATATAACCCCCTTCACATACATGGTGAGGGGTATAAAAAAAAAAAAAGGAAATTATCTTAAGAATTGTTGAGACTTCTGGTAGGAGATTGTGGTATAGGGAAAATGATAAGGCTCTTACTCTCCGGTTACTTCACCTTAGTTATCACGGTAAGGATCTGAGAGTAAGAAATGAGTGGCTCTGGGTGTGTGAACATTTGAGGTGATGTTACGTTTCTAAAGGTACGGTTACTATTATGAGTAGTAGTAGTAGTAGTAGTAGTAGTGTTTATTATTATTATTATCATCAGTTGTAAAGTAATATTTTTTTACATTTACAATTGCAGTTATTAGTATCATCATCATCCTCATCATCATTATTATTACTATCATTATTAATTAAACTGAGTATAAAAACAGCATCTCTCTCTCTCACTCACGACCAACTTTGGTAAAAAAAAAGAGAGGTGGAGAGAGAGAGAGACCAGGTGTGGGAGAACGGGGTGCTCTCTCTCTCTCTCTCTCTCTCTCTCTCTCTCTCTCTCTCTCTCTCTCAAATAAATCGAAACACATCTCCATAAATACTCGCTCATTCCAACAGATTTCCTCTTCAGCTTCCATTGAGAGCATTGTAAATAACGGCTTTCTCTCCGCCCCTTCGATAGCCCTAAACACAGCCATCTTGAATATATCATAACCATCCTAAACTCGCTATAGCCATCCTACGCTCACCACAGCCATCCTACGCTCACCACAGCCATCCTTGTCGCTCCTCAAGATAACAGCAAAACTCCAACACAAACATTGAAATTAACAAGGCAGAGATAAGCCAGTGTAAATACGCCTCTCCGGTTTTTAATTCACCCAAGTCGACCAGCTTAAGTATGCTCGAGAGAGAGGAGGTGGAGGGAGAGAGATCAAGAGTGAGAGAATGGACTGGAGGGGGTGCTCTCTCTCTCTCTCTCTCTCTCTCTCTCTCTCTCTCTCTCTCTCTCTCTCTCTCTCTCTCTCTGTTGCAGTGAAATTTTAGAATCTGAATAAATACTCTGATTTCGAATACACTTTCTGATTCTAATCACTTTGGGGCTCTGAATAAAGTCTCGTTCCGAATAAATCTTCTGTACCAAAATATACTTTCAGAATGTAAATATAATTCGTCTCTGAAGAAACTCGCTGATTATATATAAACTTTTTGATTGTGAGTAAAGTTCCCACGGTGATATTTTTATTTTTGAGTGGCTGACTGACTGATGCCTTATATAACATCACCACAACACCACCACAACCATCAACATCACCACTACTACCATCACTACCACCATCACCGCCAGCACCATCACCACTACCACCACCACCACCATGAAGCCCACACAGTACGGCCAAAACCCACTCCTGGATCAATCGGGCTTTTCTGGATATATGAGCAGGAAATTCCGATACGCTGGTTGACTAAACGACACGAAGATCATCCTAGCAGAAGCTCGAGAAGGGATCAGACGAGCTGCAGTAAAGCCAACACCAGGTAACACTCAGGAAAAACTCTTAAATTACACACTGAGGCATCCGCGTCAACGACCCACTCACGCGGTGCTGTACTGTGAGTGAGTCAGGTGTGTGGAGTCCAACAGGTGAACGTCAGGAAAGTCTCCTGACCACACTCCCTTCCTACCCCCCCCCCTTACTCTCCCACACTCCCACCCCCACATAATCCACCCACACATCCTCTAGCGGGCGGAAAACTAACCAGCCGGGCGTTTAATCTTGACTTTCGAGCGATAAAAACCCAGCTCAACCCACAAACGAGGACAAATCCCCTTAGCGAGTCGCCAGAAACAAAATCCTAGTCTTCCCGATTCACAGGGACAGGTTGCTGGATACCAGGTTACACTGAGAGGGTCGAGTTCCCAGTGTGTCTGCTGTGTAGCCGTCAGTATCGTCACCCACGTCCTCCGGTAATGTTTCATCAACACCTCCACACACACACACACACGCTGCCCACATTCTTCCTCCCTCGTTCCCTGTCATGGCGTTACTGCATGGTGGGAACTTCCTGTGCTGGAGGTATGTTAAAGTGCATGTTTTTTTTTACCTTATTTCTTCATTTCGAGAAGCAATAATGTGCCCCCCCCCCAAAAAAAAAGTTACTATTTTCATATTCACAAGATAAACCATCTACACTGAAGGAGTTGGTTCATACATAAAAGGCTACATAATAGTACATAAAAGAGAATTTGATATAATATAATATTCTAATATAATAAAATATATGAATATAATAACGACAAGAATTGGAGCATGAGAAGATTAGCCGCCCCAACATATTTTACCTAAAGCTACCTGGACGGATTAGGTTAGAATAGGCTAAGTTAGGTCAAATTAGAGCAGGTTAGATTAGGTTAGGGTCAAGTTAGATTGGTTAACTCAGGTTAGGATAGGTCAAGTTAATTCAGGTAAGGTAACGTTAAGTTTGGTCACGTTAGGTTAGCTGCGGTGCCTAATCACATTACCTTGCTAAACCTGTTACCAGCACAACTCTTGCGTTTTTTAGGAAACGCGTCGGATTACTAGTATGCTTGAGAAACTGGGGTCATTGTAACTTTTCCACATGCAGGCAGTGTGTGTGTGTGTGTGTGTGTGTGTGTGTGTGTGTGTGTGTGTGTGTGTGTCTATGGTTGCAAGGAAAAAAGGGGGAATCAAACCCATTAGGATTAAGACTCAGTAAACATGACTTATTAGATTTGGAACCCATTACAACTCGGCCCATTATATCTAAAGAATATCAGGACTCTGCCTCAGTTATATTAGGCTCCAACCTAACCTAACCTAACCTAACCTAACCTAACCTAACCTAACCTCTTACGTGAATAATGACGCTTTGGAAAAAAAATGATGAGGGTAATGTGCCTTGGGGAAGAGCCTGTAATATTCAACACACGAGGCGTATTATCATGTATTTATCTTGTTCTGAGGAGGAGGGAGGGAGGGGGAGAAGGAAGGAAGGAGAGGGGGAGAAGGAAGGAGGGAGGGGGGTAGGAGGGCAAAATGTTCTCTGCATCATAACCATAATTAACAATTTCACGGTAATCTATCTCCCCTCAACACCACGTGAGGAAGAAGTGAGGAAGACGAAGAAAGCATGGAAGATGGAAGAGAGGAGGACAGGAAGGAGGAAAAAGAGAGAGGGGAAGGGGGAAGGAAATCAAGAAGGAGAAGGGGAGAGGAAGGATGGTAGAGAGGAAGGATGGTAGCAAAGAGGGATGATGAAAGGGGGTAGAGTGTGAAGACGGAAGACGGAAAGCAATAAGAAGGAAGGGGGTGAGAGTAAGGAGGAGTGAGAAGGAAAGCAAGGAAGTGGGACAAGGAATGTAAGGATGAAAAAAGGAAGGAGTAAGGATGGCAGCAAGGATAAAGAAGGGGAGAATATAAGAAGGGCGGAGGAGAAGAAAAAGAACAAGAAAAGGTTAAAAGAAGGAACTAGGAAGAGAAGAGACGAAAAAAAAGTTAGAAAGGGGAAGGAGAGAGCAGGAGGAAGCAAGGACAAGGAAAAATACATGAGGATGACTTGAGGAGGAAGGAGGAGAGGTCTAGCACCCTTGGCTGGTCTCTCAAGTGGCTGGTAAAGCTCTTGGCGAGAGACACTAAAATGTTAATTGTATAAAAAAAAATAAAGCGTCAGGGAAAAACGCCAACACTGGGTGACTTGCTACGAACTGGAGGGACGGGGAGAGGGGGACAGTGTGGGTGGGTGAGTGGGAGTGGGAGGAAGGAGAGATGATGTGTAGGAGAGAAGTAAGACGTGTGAGAGAGAGAGAGAGAGAGAGAGAGAGCGAGAGAGAGAGAGAGAGAGAGAGAGAGAGAGAGTAGTCAGGTGTTCAGGCCATGTGGTACTGGGATGAGCA